AGCCGTAATGACCACACCACTGTCTACTGCAATAAGCACATCCAGCTTTGATATTCTTCAGCCCTTCTATGATCTTGTGACTTTTGAACTAGTAGTTTTTCTGGACTGTCATTTTAACCTTAGCTACATATTATGACTAATCCAAGCAATGTACACAAGTAGCTATGAACACAGGGAAGAGCAAAAGATATTGTCACCATGGCTACAAATGCAGAGCTGGAGTGAAAGGCATGTTAAGAGAAGGAGTTGTGCTTTTCCCAAAGTACTTTGTTTTTCTCATGTCTTCCGCTTTGAAGAGACTGGAATACATTCACACCCTTCTTCACTTTCTTATTCTTTATCTAGCACCTAGCAATGCTCCACTTTTCTGCACACAAAAGTTCTTTAGAAATGCACCTCATTCTGGTATAATAAAGCAGTAAGTGAAAAAACAATTTTATTTGTATACTTGCACTTGCTTTAGGGACAAATTTGCTCAGTAATTACCTTTCTCCGCATTTTTGGCTGAATATCCAAACCAGTAGAAGTGTACCAAAATTGCTCTACATGGAATTATGTTCTTCAAAATGGCAGAGGCCAGTCATCCTCACATTTTCTTACAACCTTTGGCCTGATTGTGCACGCTTGCCCAATACATACTGCTAGAACGATTCTTATGAGATCTAGAATTACATTGAGAAGCTTCATGGGAAAGAAATAATACACAAAAAGTAAACAGAATTGCAAAAACCTACAAGCAGATGACAGGCTTTTAGGAAACATGACCCTTTTAGGGATCATACTGACAAGTGACCAGAAAAGCCATGTTAGGAATTGTCAGAGTGCTGTAGGATGACACTGATGACTCACAAAGCAATTACAAACTTTTGTTTGAATTTGCTCTCTTAGCAAAACAAAGCCGAAGAAAACTTAATGCTTCCAATTCACATGATGGCATGAACATAGATAGCTCATTACCAGCTCTGTTACGGTTGACATATGGCAGGCATGTTGGAGTCTTACATCAACAATTTCAGCACCTGCATTCTCTAATACAGAGAAAACTATTATGCTTAGAGATAATAGCTTAAATCAGAAAATCCAACCATCTATGTTGTTTCTAACATATAATTAGTTAATTATAATCACCAAAACGTTGTTACTCAAATGAGTCATCAGTTCACTTGTTGAAGATAACCAGCAGAATTTGTAGACATTTAATGCAATAGAATCTAGAATGTATTTGTGGAAGACAAGAGGTTAGTTATGATACTTTTGAGTGCCTGGTTTAAAATATTTTGACTCCCAGACAAGGCTATGAAAAGCTACAAATGTCACAATAACTTATTATCCAGGGGTAGTTATATGAAAATCAGATTTTTACATCTAATGAAGCAGTGAGAAATACATTAAAATAGTTTATAAGTAAGATGGTTCTCTTTTTATCACTTTCTGATACTATTGTATCATGCCATTTCTCATTAAGTGCTGGGTCTAGCAGGAGAGAAGTTTTAAATAGCAATACAATACAGATGAAGAGATGCTTAGAAGGAAAAAAAGAGCAGGAAGAGATCTGTGAGGCAGCTCAGCTGCTACTGTTTTCACAAAAGTACTGAATTGAACAAGAAGGGTCTATCAGTCTAAGTGGGCAAATGGGATCTCAAAGTACTTCAGGTACTCCCTGTGTATTCACTCATGCTTAAGTGGAAAAAACAGTGCATTACTAGCTTTGCAGTTCTTTTGTATGCTGAAATAGGTTATCTTGGTGACCTACGAAGCTACTGTATTAGGGTGGTTCCTTTTTAAAATTATTATGTAATAAATACGTTGATGATTTTTTTTAAAATCTTACAAATGACCATATGTTCCTTAAACCTGAATATTGACTGCCTTGCATACACATTTAATACCAGCTGAATGCATGCAACTAGAAAAATGTTTTTGGAGTTGAGCTTTAAAAAGAAAACATCAGGATGATTACAAATGATTAGTCATATTTGTTCATTAGTGCTGTGAAATAGCCCAAATACTTAATAATTAACTACTTTAATGTTATCAAGGAGGTAGACTGATATTCATAACTTGATTTTGACAAAACACAGCAAATTAATAGTTTTAATTAATATGATTGTGTAAAATGCAAGCAGATATTAGTGTTTGTTGAAAATGGAAGAATTCTTACTTAAAGTTCAAACATAACTGGTGCACAATAATTTTCCACTATTTTCATACCTTACTAATCGAAAAGCAGCCAAATTTGGAACTGAATGCCAAAGCTTCACTAGCTATCATTGAAATATAACAGTGAATGAGAGACCAAGCAATGGACATCCAAGTCTGTCATTGGCACTCCTCCAAACCAAAGTTGAACTATAAAATGTATGTCTATGTAGCAGAATTTATATGGAAAGAACATTATGAAATGTTCAGCTCAAGTCATTGAGATGATGTGGAATTACAGTGGGTAGAATAATTTTCTTTTTTTTTTTTAAATTAAAAGTCTCTGCCTAATTCTTATGTAAGTCTAAAACATTTTTGTTGCATTCTGGTTTTATTTCAAAAACATCTATAGGTTAAAAAGAGCCTATCTTTAATTCTGTTATAATTGGAAGAGGTCTTCTTAAAGTCTTAATTGGACTCTTCATGGTATTATTTGCATGAGATCTTTTTCAAAGCAATACTTCTTCCCAGTGTTTGTCAGTAGTCTAAATTAAATGGTCAGTGACTAAACTAAAAAGCCAAAGTGGTTTTGCTGGACATATCTTGTTACCTTTAATATTGTAATTCCACCAATACCTCAGTGAGCAACACCTTCCATGAGTAATGCAGGTTAACATCTAAATATCTCATGGAAAAAAAAAAAAAAAAGGTGGGCAAGGATAAGAGTAAAGCCCAGTTTTAAAAAGGTGTTAAACTTTCCATCTTAATTTTTTCCTTAAAACTTCATCAACATGGTGTTTTGTACTAAAGCCAATAAACATATGAACCGAGTTGTGCAAGACAGTTGTTGCTGCTTCTTTTAACTTAGAGACTGAGTTCTTCTTCTGGATCTTGGCTGTGGGTGTATAGAACAGAAAGATTTGGGTCAGAAAGGACTTTAAAGATCACCCTGTTCCAATCCCCCTGTCTTGGGCAGAGACACCTTCCACTATACCAGGTTACTCAAGGACCTGTCCAACCTGGCCTTGAACACTGCCAGATATGGGGCAGCCACAGCTTCTCTGGGCAACCTGTGCCAGGGCCTCACCATCCTCACCGCGAGGAACTTCTTCCTAATACCTAATCTAAATATTTAAATCTACCCTCTGTCAGTTTAAAGCCATTCCCCCTTGTCCTCTCCCTCCATGTGCTTGCAAAATGTCCCACTCCAGATTTCTTGTAGACCCGTTTAGGTACTGGAAGCTGCTCTAAGGTATCCATGCAGTCTTTTCCAGGTTGAATAACCTCAATTCTTGCAGCCTTTCCTCATAGGAGTGGTGCTCAGTCCTCTGAGCATCCTTGTGGCCCCCTCTGGACTCACTCGAACAGCTCCATGTCTCTCCTGTGCTGGGGGCCGCAAAGCTGGATGCAGTGCTGCAGGTAGAGTCTCACAAGAGCAGAGTAAAGGGGTCCCATGACCTGCTGCATGCTAGACACACTCCTTTTGATGTGGCTGGTTGGCTTTATGGGCTGCAAGCATACATTGCTGGGTCATGTCCAGCTTTTCATCCCCCGCTACTCTGACGTCCTTCTCCAGGAGGCTGTTCTCTCTAATATGTGTGTACATATACATAAAGCATGTAGGAATTGGAAGACATAATTTCATGACTCTGATTTGCCATGTATCATACTGATTTCAGTGTGAAACCACCAGTGGAAGCAGGGAGAAGATGCGAGGCAAGGAGGATGACAGGCTGCAGGGAGTGTACAGCTTAAGGTGGGGGTCTCAGTGTCAGGGGTTATTATGTATTATCTGTTGATGATTGGATTGGGGGATTATTTTTAACAGTCTGGCTTTGCTGGCAAGAAGTGGTTTTGTGTTTGAAGTATTTATTATGATGCTGCTCAAGGTGACCAGGAAGCTGTGCAGGAAGGCCAATTTTAAACTGGTGCTGGCTTCATCACATCAGGATCTGGCTTTGTAAGGCAAACCCAAGGGATACTGTTTAACGAAGTGGCTTGCCTGAGGTACAGGAGTCATTATAGGGAAATGAGGAACATAAAGTGTGCTTGGTTTTTCATTTAACCTGTATAAAGGTATGGGACAACCATAAGGCCAAGATGGATGGCTGTGTGGCCCTCCTTGGACCCAAGAGCTGCTGTCAGGTTGGGGAGCATGGAGAACGCTTCTAGGCTGTTCTACTTGGCACACGGGAACCGTATAAGCAGACTGTAGGTAGATAACATTAAAACTTCAGAGAGACTCAGTCACCATCTGGTGCCACACCGGCGCGTTGCGTTTGTAAATCGGGGAGAGGTCCAAGAGGTCGAGGCTCCACAGGCGGCCTGCCGCTGGTACGGGCGGCTCCTGGCGGCAGCGGGACCAGAAGCGCGGGATTCCCAAAGGGGGCCGGCCCCAGGGCGGCGGAAGCGCCCATCTTGGGCCGACGCAGCCGTGGTGCCGCTAAAGGCGGCGGCGGAGAGCAGCTGCGGCCCTCGGGCAGGGGGTGAATGAGAACAACGGCGAGGCGGGGCGGGGCTGCCCATGGCCGTAGGTGAGGCCACGGAACGTCCCCTTCCCAACCGTGGCGGAAGGAGAAGATAAAACAAGAGCAGCTGAGCGCAAGCGAAGAAAGAAGACCACGGCGGCACCCCTACCCCTACCCCTGCCTCGGCCCCTGCCCCTGCCTCCGCCCCCCGCCTCCGCCTCCCCCTCCCCCGTGCGGAGGGGCCGTGACGCGCGGCGCGCAGGCGCAGCAGCTCCCAGCGCCTTTTATATCCGGCCGGCGCCTTTTCTCTCTCCGCGTCCATCCTTTTCTCCCTCCCTCCCGCTCTGTCAGAGCCGCCGCACTCGGTGCCGGTGCCGGTACCGGTACCGTTACCGTTACCGTGCGCTCCCTCCCTCCCTCCCGTTCTGTGCACGCCTGGCCGGTAGCGCCTCCGACTTGCCCGGCTACCCCATGAAGCGATGGCAGCGGCCAACTTCGGCAAGATCCAGATAGGGATCTACGTGGAGATCAAGCGCAGCGATGGTCAGTGCGGCGGGGCGGCGGCGGGGGGGGGAGCCGCGAGAGGGGCCCATTGTGTGCGCGGGGCCGGGGAGTGGCCGGGCCTGGCGCGCGCTGCGGTTGTCAGGGGAGCGCTCGCGCTTGGCGGCGCAGCGCGGTTGCGCGGGGCACGAGCGGCGGGGCCGGGGGGGGGGGGGCTGCGGCAGGGCGGGGTGCGGCGGGGGAGGGGAGCAGGCGGGGGGCAATGGCGGGGAGCGGGGCCTAGGGGCGGGGGGAGAGGCCGGGGAGCTGTCGGCAGCGGGCGGGAAGGGCCTTGAAGGGGCTGTGAGGTGATGGAGGGCAGAAGGGCCTTCAGTGCGGGGGAATAACTTGTCTGGTATACGGGCAGCGCGCTGGGAACACGGCACAGCGGGCAGGATGCCTTCGGGCACTTCCATCATTGGACAGAAAGATTGATGTTATTTCAGGTGTTGGTCGTGATTAAAATGTAAGATGAGTGCCTGCTATTTATGCCCACGAGTGGTTACTGCTCCGCTGGGGACCCAGTGTTCCTCATCTTGCCCAGCATCTCCTAGCGGGAGGATGTGTAGTGCTGTCTAGAAACACACGTGAATAAAGGAGGCGTGTGTGACAGGTCTGGGGTGCCAACCCTCCACGTTTCTCTAGTAGGGGAGAGCTAAGATGGGAAGTTCACTGGATGAATCAATGGCAGGTCACCCGTAACCTCAGCTCTTTCATGTGAGTGTGAATATGTCATCTGTTCTTGGCCTCTGCAAGGTCTGTGAAGCCTGCTGAACTAGGGTGGGGTTTTGCTGGGATTTTCTGGAAAGATAGATGTGGTTTTACTGAGGTTTTTTGTTTTTTTTTTTTTCCTTTTTTTTTTAATTTTGTCAGGGTTGAGGAGCTTGCTAAAGGATAAGCAGATGTTTCTATGGGAGGAAAGATCTGGAGGTCAAAGGCACTGAAGTTAGCTAGCTTGGTTTTGTTAGGCAGGAAACAAGAAGCTGGCAAGCTTTGTGCAGTTTGCCTGTCTTGTGTCCTACACTGCAGTTAAACACTACAATAAAGTAATGGTCGGTGTTGTCTGGACACTGTTAAATCTAACCCCTCAATTTATGCTTAATGGCTTGTGTGTCACATGAAGAATCTGATAGGTCTGGCTGCTATTTGCATAACTTCTGTAAATCTTTGCCTGGGGTTTCAGAAAACCTCACTGTAGCAACTTGTAAAGCTGTTTTTCTGTGGTCTGTGTGAACTTCTAATGAATGTTACTGTTTGGTTTCTATGCCTTCAGAAAATAAGGCATGAGAATGCTTTGCTGCTTCCCCCCTACCCCCCCCCCCCGCAGTGTTTTGCTCATTTATGTGAGAAGTGAGGACAGTAACTCTTGAATGTAATAATACTTATTTTGATTACTGTTAGTGGTTTACAAGTTTTGCTGTATCACTTACACATGCAATGCAGCACATTAAATACGTATCACTACTATACTGGGGGTGTGCCTTCACAGCAGTTGCTTGAGCTGCAGGGTTTTGATCATTTGTGTTGGCTCTTATGTGAGCAACCAGACTGCCATGTAATACCAGTCCTGGTTACTATGAGGTTTGCTTGGTTTTGATTGGGAATGGAGGAGGAGGTGGCCTGCTCTGGCTCAGGCTACTGCAGCTTCGCCATTCTCTTCCCATTAAGCCATAGGAGAAACTGACCTGGGTATGTGGAAGGGAGCGTTTTAAGATATCAAAGGACAGCTGGCAATATTTTGCATTGCCTTTCACAAGGTGGGTTTCCAGCCTGAGCTGTGGTTACACAGGCAATCGAAATTGATCTAGCTGCTTTGAACAAGGGAAGAGGGTCTTCCTGCCTGTGACTGTCAGCTGTGCTGTTCTATAAACCCTCTCTGTCACCCACAGTGCCCAATGATCTTTTTTTCGTATGATTTAATACAGCAATTGGTTACTTGAGTCGCTAAACACAGTAGAAAACTTCTGTGTGTGCTAGGGTTCTACATCATTAGTGAATTCCAGAAGCTCACAGGGGAAGCTCTGGCCCCAGCCGTATTGGTGTGTAGGAAATGCGTGGCCAGGATGAAGTGGAAGTCTTCATGTATGGTATTCTGGTTCAGTAACAGAGAGCTATCTGCATCTGCTGTACCCAGAACTGGGTAGAGAACTGGGGCTGTGTATTGTACCAGCTGCCCTTGGCTGAAAGCAAGATTAAAACTGTTGAAGAAACTTGGAGAAAGCAGTATGTTAGTCTGAGCTTTTTCTCTTTTATATATATATATATATATTCTTGTCTACAAGAAATCCTTTTTTAAAACTAAATATTATCTTGAGAGGTATGCGTAGTAATTCTTTTAGATCTTCTTATTTACCTGCTTACTTGCTGAATTGGAATAGAATAATATTTTGCTTTGTTAGTTGGTTCATTTGAAATATTCTACCAGTTACATTAAACCCTTTTCTAAATGCAGAGTTTTATTAATTCCAGATAACTCTAGTTTTCCTTAAATAAAAAGAAAATCTAACAGGAAAGGTTCTCTTTTTGAGTTTTTTTTTTGTTTTGTTTTGTGAAGCATGAATGTTAGAAGTCATACTTGTTCACCACAATAAAATGGCAAAGACATGCGAAGCACAATAAATGTGAGAATGAATCCAGAACTTTCTGGAAAGAAAAGTTACGTATTCTGACATCTTGACTAGTTCTAATTATGCTTAAGTGTTTCATGAGAGATTTGTTATAGGACTGAATAGAAAATAGATGTTGTGTAAACAAAAGGCATTGTTAGAAATCATGGCCAAAAACACATGAAGAACAGTGTTTGGATAAAACTCAAAATTTTCAAGGACTAGTGCTGCCAAGCTGCTTACTGTGTATCTGTTTTTTCTCAGTGGGTAAACATTGGTATAAATGTTGTCTACAGTTGCAGATATTTCCAGTTATAACTGGAATAGCTACTTATGCTCATGTAACATAAGAATGTACTGGGTGGTCAGCTAGTTGGCTTTTTATAATAATTTCTGCTACTGACATTTACTAATTATTTCAGTATAGTTTATGCATGTTGCTTGTAATATGCCTTGGTAATCCATCTTGGAAACAGGAAAGACCTCCTTCCATTTAGGCTGTGAATTGCCAAGAGTGGACTGCGTTTCCAGTCTTTAAACATGTGCCTTAACACACGGAAGCTTGGGGAAGTGGGGAGGCACCCAGAAGGTATCTACAAGACTTGCTGTAGTGTTCCTGTCCAGATGATGCTTCTTGTTGAGGTCTAAACATGGGCATTTGTCTGGTGATAGGTTCCCTTTACTTAAATAATAATAGCCTACCACTTTATCTGTGAACTACCCGTATTTGCACTTCTTGTGCATTATCCCATTAATGATAAGACTTATATAACTACTTTGACAAAGAATATCTGACATTTTTTTCCCTGCATAAATTCAGTTTTCTGAAATAGGGTATATCTATTATTCCCTGCAGCACTTTAGTTTGCTGACAGTTTTTACTTCTTCAGTCCAGTTGTGTTCTGTCCATTTCTTCTTCAGGCTGTTTCCTATTCCCTGTCTTTGCAGATCTGAAATACTACTTGTAAAGACAGAGAAATTAATTACATATTTACTCATTTTGAAAGCGGGAAGACTACAATTCTGATCTCGTGGTGTCAGAAATAATATAGCATGTATGAGGAGAAGGACATTCTTGTAATTGGAAGAGTGACTAAAGATTCAGTTGAACTTCCGGGGAAGGGAAAATACTGAGTTTTTCGGGATTATCCATCAAATGGTATGAAAAAGAAAGATCATGAGTTTGTGCCCATTTTTTTGTAACACAAGAACAGGATAGCTGTCAGTGCTTGAAAGAAAATGTTAAACTGATAAAGGAGAATAGACTAGGTATAGCTATTGTGAGGAGTTTGCTACCAGGGGAGGTGGAGGCTAAAAGCATAGCAGAATATTAAAGTGGAAATATCCAGTTTTACACTAAAAATTTAAAAAAATACACCAGCGACCATAAAATGTGTTTTCAGTTCTTCCTGAGTTTAATTAACCTCTAACTCTGATGGAAGGTAGGAATAAATCTTGCCTGTGGCTGTGTTATTTTTTTAATTGCCTACTTACAGATTTTCTTGTCTCTGAAGCAGCTGGAACTGGTCACAGTCAAAGATAATCCATCCAGTCCAAAAACCTACTGGCAGCTTCTCTCTCCTTAGGCTTTCCAAAACATCATGGTAACCGGTTTCACTTTCAAATACAAATAAGTTTAAATTTTTGTAGTAGTCAGGGCTGTACTTTTTTTCTTTAAAGTCCAGCTTCTGTCAAATTGATGTTTTTCAGAGTTGAGAGCCTGTAGCATCTTCTTGTCTGCTGGGTAGTCCTGTATGATGATCTAGATCTTTACATGCAACTCCCAATATCAACAATGATTTTATAGCAGGATAGAAGGCATAGCAGTGCTATAAAAATTCTCTTCAGGTTTTGGTAGTCACCCTATTTTACAAGCTCTTGAGGATAGTTTTAAATGGTAATGTGCTTTTACTCTTTCCTTTGGTAACATACACCTATTTGTTCCCTGTGCTTGAGATTTTCTTGTTACCACATTTGGATCATTTGACTAAATTACCTAATCCTTATGTAAGCCATATGGACACAACATGTCTTTGTTCTTCTGTCATCGTCAGATCACACACAGGGTTTCACGTATGCTCTTGCTGGTTGAGCTTGTGGGTCCAAAATTCTGGCTTACTTATCTATGGCTCTCGTATTGTTTCGTACAGCATTTCTGGGGATTGGTCTTACAGAACTGTTGACCAGGAAGATGTGTTGGAGTTTCTCTGTTCTGTTTAAAATTACTTTAAGAGTTCAGCTTTTGTTAATCAGTAAGTGGATTTTCACTGTAACTCACAGCCTCTCAGATATTTTTGTAGGCCTTCTGTATTTTGCATAAATAGCTTTTGAATGACAAGAGCTGAGTCCAAATCTTCAGACAGTCTTCTCATCTTTGCTCCATAAGTGTGTCTAATA